ATTATTTTACTTTTCAACATTGACTGTGTCCGTACTTGGGATTTCCACGGCAAAGAAGACTAGTTTCGTTGCCGGTCCAGCCACTGATTTCATTATCGCGCGCTCTTTTTCTCCGGTCTCTCCGGCCATATTCCGCTTCTTCCTTCTTCTTCTCGCGCCAATTTTCTCTCTCTTCCGAGGAAACGAAAGCTGAACACAGTGAAAAAGCCTTTCCCTTTGATTTCGGAGCAACCATCGTTTCCAATTCACCGGAACGAAACCGAAGGTTCTTCAGAAACCCTTCAGATCTACGAAAACATCTGTGGAGACAGACAATACCACTTTTTCCCAGGGAATTTTGATATACCCAAGAGAAAAAAGAAGCAAATTTGTTGGTGTTGGGAGTTAAAGCGCGGAATTTGATGGTTAGAACGGCGGAGACTTCACGTAGTCTTGTTTGCTTAGGATGACCGGTGCTCCGGCGTGTGATCGGATAGGTTTTTGTCGTTTTGGTAAACCTCTCTCATGGAATGGCAGATCTTGTGAGCTATGGTAATGTCGAGCGTGACATCGAACAGGTCCTCTCTTCTTTCTCTGTATATCTCATCTAAAAACTTCATCTTTACGGCTTTGATCTTCACGACCTTGTTGTTTTTCAGGCTCTAATTGCTTTGAAGAAAGGTACTCAACTCTTGAAATATGGTCGGAAAGGAAAGCCTAAGTTTTGTCCCTTTAGACTTTCCAATGTGAGTGTGATTTTTTTAGAATTCATGCATCTTTTTGGGTTAGGACCGGAAATGTGGTTTTTAGCTGTCATATTTAGGGAAAGGTGGTGGTATGGCTGACCACCTTTGTTGATGGCTGACTACTTGGACATGTTATTTGCAGGACGAGACATCTTTGATCTGGATTTCAAATGGTGGAGAAAAACGTTTGAAATTAGCAACTGTATCTAAAATTATTCCAGGACAAAGAACTGTAATGTCTCTTTAAAATCCTACTTTTTGTTCAGCATACAGAATTGCTAGTCTTTTGTGAGTAACTTGATCATGTTTATACTATCAGGCTGTTTTCCAACGTTACCTTCGCCCTGAAAAGGATTATCTATCTTTTTCTCTCGTATACTCCAACAGGAAGCGGACTCTTGATTTGGTTGGTGAATGAAACTTAGCTCCTCTCTCTCTTCAGCGTGTAATGTCCGCTTCTGTATACGCAAACTGAATAGTTTACGTTATTCTCAGATTTGCAAGGACAAAGTTGAGGCAGAGGTGTGGATAGCAGGCCTAAAAGCTTTGATATCTGGTCAGGGTGGCCGTTCTAAAATTGATGGATGGAGTGACGGAGGCCTATCTATTGCTGTAAGTAATAAGTATTCCTAATGCAGACTGCTTCAGTATGATTGATGGTGCAAATTGTATCTCTCTTCTCAGAATAAGTTTCATTTAGATTTTCCTGAAGTTTTGTTTTGTTTTGTTTTCGTCATCTTCAGGACAGCAGAGACCTGACATTAGGCAGTCCTACCAACAGCTCGGTTTGTGCTTCTCGAGATTTTAACATTTCTGAAACTCCCTACAATTCAAACAATTTTCCGAAAACTTCTAGGGCTGAGAATTCTGTCAGCTCTGAAAGGTCACATGTGGCATCAGATAGCCCAAATATGTTAGGACGAGGATCTGGATCAGAATTGTTCCGGGCTAGTGTCTCTAGTGTTCAAAGCACCTCGAGTCATGGTTCTGCTCCAGATGATTGTGATGCTCTAGGTGATGTTTATATATGGGGTGAAGTTCTATGTGATAATGTGGTCAAAGTCGGGGATAAGAATGGTAGTTGTGTTGGATCAAGGTCAGATGTTCTGATTCCAAGGCCATTGGAATCCAATGTAGTTTTGGATGTCCACCAAATAGCATGTGGTGTTAAGCATGCTGCTCTAGTGTCTAGGCAAGGTGAGATTTTTACATGGGGTGAAGAATCCGGAGGACGTCTTGGCCATGGAATGGGAAAAGATGTTACTGGGCCGCAGCTTGTTGAGTCTCTAGCACTTGCTAATGTTGATTTTGTTGCCTGTGGTGAGTTCCATACATGCGCCGTTACAATGACAGGGGAGATTTATACATGGGGTGATGGAACACACAATGCTGGACTTCTTGGTCATGGTACCGATGCAAGTCACTGGATACCTAAGAGAATATCAGGTCCTCTTGAAGGTCTTCAAATTGCTTCTGTATCATGTGGACCGTGGCACACTGCTTTAATAACGTCAACTGGACAGCTTTTTACTTTTGGAGATGGGACATTTGGTGTTTTAGGGCATGGTGACAGAGAAACTGTATTTTACCCGAGAGAAGTCGAATCTTTATCTGGTTTGAGGACTATTGCCGTCGCATGTGGTGTATGGCATGCTGCTGCAGTAGTAGAAGTCATTGTCACTCAGTCAAGTTCAAGTATTTCTTCAGGAAAGCTGTTCACTTGGGGTGATGGTGACAAGGGCCGTCTTGGCCATGGAGATAAAGAGCCTCGGCTTAAACCCACATGTGTATCACCTCTAATTGACAATGATTTTCACAGAGTTGCATGTGGACATAGTTTAACAGTTGGCTTGACCACATCTGGCAAAGTTTTCACGATGGGTAGTACAGTTTATGGTCAACTAGGGGATCCCGCTGCTGATGGGAAGCTTCCTTGCTTAGTAGGAGACAAACTAACTAATGATTGTGTCGAAGAAGTAGCATGTGGTGCTTATCATGTGGCAGTTTTAACATCTCGAAATGAAGTGTTTACATGGGGCAAGGGTGCCAATGGGAGACTAGGTCATGGGGATATGGAGGACCGTAACTCACCCACTCTTGTAGAGGCTTTGAAAGAGAGACATGTTAAATATGTTGCCTGTGGTTCAAACTTTACGGCAGCAATATGTCTACATAAATGGGTTTCTGGTACTGAGCAATCTCAATGTTCAGCTTGTAGGCAGGCTTTCGGATTCACACGAAAAAGACACAATTGTTACAACTGTGGGCTTGTCCACTGCCATTCATGCAGTTCCAAGAAATCACTGAAAGCTGCTTTGGCTCCTAATCCAGGCAAGCCTTATCGTGTCTGTGATTCGTGTTACTCTAAACTGAGTAAAGTTTCAGAAGCTAGTATTGATAGCAGGAAGAATGTTATGCCACGGCTTTCTGGTGAGAACAAGGACAGATTGGACAGAAGTGAGATAAGATTGGCTAAATCGGGAATACCGTCAAATATAGATTTGATCAAGCAGCTGGATAGCAAAGCAGCTAGACAAGGAAAGAAGGCGGATGCATTCTCTCTCGTCCGCACTTCTCAAACACCTCTGTCACAGCTTAAGGAAGCTTTGACTAATGTGGCTGACTTACGGCGTGGGCCTCCAAAACCAGCAGTAACTCCATCTGGAGCAAGCTCCAGATCTGTGTCACCTTTCTCAAGGAGATCTAGTCCTCCTCGTTCAATCACTCCCATTCCTTCAACAGCTGGTCTTGGTTTTTCAACAAGTATAGCTGAGAGCTTGAAGAAGACAAATGAGCTTCTGAATCAGGAACTGGTCAAATTGCGCGCCCAGGTAAATTCCTTTCAGACCTCTAATATACATCTATCTATATTGTTTTTACCTCCCCTCATTCATCAAAATTTGTTTCCATATATGGTTATGTCTTGCTTTCTTTTTAAAAAATATCTTGGATTCTGTTTAGGCCGAGAGCCTGAGGCACAGATGTGAGGTCCAAGAATTCGATATCCAGAAATCCGTGAAGAAAGTACAAGAAGCAATGAACCTGGCAGCAGATGAATCCGCCAAATCGAAAGCTGCGAAAGAAGTTATAAAGTCTTTGACAGCACAGGTTTTTGGCTTGATTACTCTCTTATAGATTTCTCTAAAATGGTCGGTATCAGTATTCAAAATGTATCTATGTGATTTATTCATTCTTGAAATATGATTCCCACTAACCTGATTTAAATTAAGTGTGAGTTGCCTTGTCATTTCAAGCTTCCAATTCTTACTGTTTCTTCCCCACCTAAATATTCCTATTTGATGTTTCCAGCTCAAGGATATAACTGAGCGGCTCCCACCGGGTGCTTACGAAGCTGAGACCACACGAACGGCTAATTTGCTGAATGGGTTTGAGCAAAACGGATTTCACTTTGCTGATGCAAATGGACAACGTCCATCACGGTCTGATTCAATGAGCGACACCTCTCTTGCGTCACCTTTGGCGGCGCTGCACGCACGTTCAACGAATGGACTTTGGCGAAATTCCCCGTCCCCACGAAACACAGAGGGAAGAGACGAACCTCTAAGTGAAGGAGTTCGAATCAGCAACGGTTTCTCTGAAGACGGTGAAACCCGCAGAAACTCAAGAACCTCAGCAGCATCAGTATCAAATGTTTCTCAAGTAGAGGCGGAGTGGATCGAACAGTACGAACCTGGTGTATATATAACACTAGTGGCACTAGGCGATGGAACCAGAGATCTCAAACGTGTGCGCTTTAGGTAACAACATCGTAGAATCGACCCACTTTGTTATCTCCATGTGTTGTAGAGAATCTAATACCAATCTGCTTTTTTTGTTTGTTTGCAGCCGGAGAAGATTCAGGGAGCAACAAGCAGAGGTATGGTGGTCAGAGAATCGCGAAAGAGTATACGAAAAGTACAACATTCGCGGTACGGATAGATCATCAAGTGTTCCTTCACCTACATCCCAATCCCATTTCCAGACATGAAATCAAAACTAAACAACAACTAAAGCATAGGAAGCACTTAGAAGAGAGTTATATTGATGCTGTGAGGTTTCCCATTCTTCCAGCATCTCACTGTGTATATTGAGAAGAATCAAGTTTGTCATGAATTTCATGATTTTTTACTAAACTCAAATTCTGATATCGGTAGCCAAACTTCATGCCGTTTAGCCTTTTCTTTACTAAACTACGCTCAGTTTCTCTTTTTTCACAATGTTACCTAAATATGTCTCCGTTTTCGTCTTCTCCCTCAGAACTTACCCAAATCAGCCATGGAAGCGAGGCTCTCCAAAACTCTGGGCCTCCCTCCTCCGAATCATAATCACTGTCACCTTTCCAACGATTTCAATTCCCTCTTCACGTACTTCTCCGATCTCACATCCGTCCAGATCCCTGAAGCCAAAAAAGCCAAATCTTCGAGGAGATCGGTATCGTCGAAGCCGCCATTTGCGTCTGTTTCAGTCTCAGATAGACCGGAATTAGTGAAATGGGTCAAACCTCCTGCATCATCAGAAAGCAGTCCAAAGATTCAGACGACATTGATGAAGCAACTCTCGGTCTTAGAGCGTGCACTAATCGGTGCAGGAGCCGGTGGAATCGCCGGAGCTTTCACGTACGTTTGTCTTCTCCCATTAGACACAATCAAAACAAAGCTTCAGGCGAAAGGAGCATCTCAGGTATACAGTAGTAGTTTCGATGCAATTGTGAAAACATTTCAAGCAAAAGGGATTCTAGGTTTCTACAGTGGTGTCTCCGCCGTGATTGTTGGCTCAACGTTTTCCTCCGCCGTGTATTTCGGTACCTGTGAGTTCGGTAAGTCTCTCCTCTCCAAATTCTCTGGATTCCCTCCGGTGCTAATCCCACCAACTGCTGGTGCCATGGGAAACATAATCTCATCGGCTATAATGGTTCCTAAAGAGCTTATCACTCAGAGAATGCAAGTTGGAGCTGGTGTTAGATCATATCAAGTTTTGCTTCAAATTCTTGAGAAAGATGGGATCTTGGGGCTTTACGCTGGTTACTCTGCTACATTGTTAAGGAATTTACCTGCAGGGGTACTAAGTTACTCGTCTTTTGAGTACCTTAAAGCTGCGGTTTTGGAGAAAATGCAGCAGAACAATCTTGAGCCTTTGCAGAGTGTTTGTTGTGGGGCATTGGCTGGTGCTATATCTGCTTCGATAACGACGCCATTAGATGTGGTAAAGACAAGGCTGATGACACAGATTCACGTCGAGGCAGCCAGCGAACTAGGCGCTGCTATGTATACCGGCGTGGCTGGGACAGTGAGACAGATACTAAAAGAGGAAGGTTTGGTTGGTTTTACGCGAGGAATGGGTCCTCGAGTTGTTCACAGCGCTTGTTTCTCGGCAATCGGGTATTTTGCATTTGAGACTGCTAGGCTTACAATCTTGAATGAATATTTGAAGAAGAAACAAGCTTCTGAAGCTACTCACGTTGTTACTGATTCTTGAGTTTGGTTTCGAGATGAGTGTTTATCCTTGTGTTTTCAAAGCTAAGCTGTTCAGAAATTCGTAGTTGCACTTTTGTATTTGAAGAGCGTAGAGAGGAATAACTTTCATTTCAGATTCATATATCCATAGAACATTTTTGGCTGATGATTGACTCTCTGAATAATCAATCATGTGCTTGTAAAATTTTCTTTTATATTTCGTACATTTTTGTTTTGGTTTTACATATATGATATATCTCTCTGCTTCTTTAAACCCAAGAGAATTTCAAGAAAGGCCACATGATCAGAGAAGAGAGATGAATCGTCATCATCATCACTCTCGTTTCTTCTTCTTCTACCTGATGATTCTCTTTCTTTCTCAAGATTTTCCCGCACTTTCTCTCCGTTTCTCGCCGCCACAGCACAACTTAACCCTCTTCGGCGACGCCTACTTTCGCGACCACACAATCTCACTCACCCATCAAAAGCCCTGTTTTCCGTCGTCGCCGGTAAACTCCTCCTCCGGCATCGGACGAGCACTCTACGTTTACCCAATCAAGTTTCTAGAACCTTCCACAAACACCACCGCTTCTTTCTCCTGCCGCTTCTCCTTCTCCATCATCTCCTCTCCTTCTTGCCCCTTCGGCGACGGATTCGCCTTCTTGATCACCTCCAATGCCGACTCATTCGTCTTCTCCAACGGCTTCTTGGGTTTGCCCGATCCGCATCACTCCTTCATCGCTGTCGAGTTCGACACTGGTTTCGACCCGATTCACGGCGATATCAACGACAACCATATCGGAATCGATGTAAATTCCGTCTTCTCCGTCGCTTCCGTCGACGCGATTTCAAAAGGGATCGATCTCAAGAGTGGTAGAGAGATGAAGGCGTGGATTGAGTACAGTGACGCTCTCAAACTCATTAGGGTTTGGGTCGGGTTTTCTTCCGTCAAGCCTCCAACTCCGGTTTTATCCACACAGATCGATCTCACCGGAAAATTCAAGGAGTATATGCACGTCGGCTTCTCCGGTTCAAACACCGCAACTGGCTCAGCTCTGCATATCGTCGAGCGATGGAGATTCAGGACTTTCGGATCTCACATTGACGCGATTCAAGAAGATGATCATGATGACGATTGCTTGGTCTGCTCAGGCGATGATCTGAAGAATAATCCGATTGAGATTCACCGTAAAGGTTACGACTTTAGGGTTTCGGTTATTGGATTAAAGATCCCAATCTGGAGTCTCTTTCCTGGTTTAGCTGCGATTGCGATTCTCACTGCGTTTATTGTTTTCTCAATGATTCGGAGCAAGAAGAGAAGGATTTTTGAGAACCCAGAGGAGCAAGTCGGAGGAGATAATCACTCGGGACTCAACAGGATTCCGGGAAGGTTATCATTGGCAGAGATTAAATCGGCGACATTAGGGTTTGACGATGACACTATCGTGGGTCAAGGAGCTTCAGCTACTGTGTACAAAGGCTCGATCCCTACGATCGGATCCGTGGCCGTGAAACGGTTTGATCGAGCTCACTGGCCACAGTGTAACCGGAACCCATTCACCACAGAGTTCACTACCATGACTGGTTACTTGCGGCACAAGAATCTGGTTCAGTTCCAGGGCTGGTGTAGTGAAGGCACCGAGACGGCTTTAGTGTTCGAGTACTTGCCCAACGGAAGTTTAAGCGAGTTCCTGCACAAGACACCTTCATCGGAAGGAGAAGAGTTCATAGTCCTCTCTTGGAAGCAACGGGTTAACATCATCCTCGGGGTTGCCTCGGCGCTCACTTATCTACACGAAGAATGCGAGAGACAGATTATTCACCGTGACGTCAAGACTTGTAACATAATGCTTGATGTAGAGTTCAACGCCAAGTTAGGTGATTTCGGTTTAGCTGAGGTTTATGAGCACAGTGCATTGTTAGCAGGACGTGACGCTACGCTCCCGGCAGGCACTATGGGTTACTTGGCACCTGAATACGTTTACACAGGTGTACCCTCTGAGAAAACCGACGTGTACAGCTTCGGTATCGTGGTTCTCGAGGTTTGTACGGGGCGTAGGCCGGTCGGGAATGACCAGAGCGTGCTTGTGGACCTGATGTGGAGTCTGTGGGAGAAAGGGAAGGTCTTGGATGGTGCTGACGTGATGCTCAAGGAAGAGTTTGATGCGGAGGAAATGGAAAGGGTGTTGATGGTTGGGATGGTATGTGCGCATCCTGACTGCGAGAAGCGGCCGCGTGTGAAGGAGGCTGCAAGGATTATACGCGGGGAGGCGCCGTTGCCAGTTCTTCCGGCGAGGAAGCCTTTGCTAAGGATCCGGGTGGCTACGGAGGCGGAGCAGATGGTTGCCGATGGTTTGTGTGGGGAGGATCTTCCTTGGATGACTCCTAAATCTCACTTTTAGATGATTTGACTATTTTTGGAGGCTTTTTCTGCAATTGAGTCGTAAACGTTGTGGGCTAGATTTGGAAATATATTGAATTAC